GGAAATTTTGGTAAACTTAAGTGGTTTCAGTAAGGGTAGGACCCAGACTATTTATATTATGGAGGGGTGATTGAGATTAGGTACTAATGTACTAGAAGAAAGGAAGTGGAGACTGAGGTATCCACAATTAAGTGCTTAACAGCAAAAGGAAGGTAGCTTGGTGTATTTTTTGTTACTCTTATTACAAAAAGGATTTGAGCCCACAAAGCGGGGAAGGGTGTCCTCAATCTCAGCAGAGAGATGGACTGAGAATGCTTGCTGAGTGCCAAGGACAGGAGAAATGGAGAGGGGAGTGAGGGCAAACTCTTGAGAAGTCAGTGGACAGGCAGGGTGCCAGAAAGGCCTGGGTGATAACTGTCAGGGTGTGATAGTTCAGAGTAAAGCTCCAGAGAGCTTGTAAAGAGGCTGTCTTTGGAGGGTCCCAGAACATTGGCAGAGTAGGAGGGAGGCCACTCACTGAGTGTAGAGTGAGAAGGAATTAGATAAAGTTGACAATACAAAAGACAAGTTCTGAAACTGCTCTGGGAAAAGGTGCTAGGCATTTAGCAAGTGATTCATATGGCATAAAAAGTTATGCAAATGTTTACAAAGAAAAACGCAAAACATTCAACTAGTGACTGTTAATTTTCACCCCACTCTGAAAATATATAGGAACTAAGATCCTTATGGAATGAATTATTTTTATTAGATGCTAGCCATAGAGCTACATGACTTTGGATAGGCATGTGTGTGTTTTCTTTGAAAGATGCTGTAATGCGCAGTGTTTGTTTGTTTGTTTTTTCCCCCTCACACCTGGATTCAGACCTCACTGTATCACAAGGCTTTACCTAGGACTCTGTTTCTCAGAAGCTAGAAGCTGAGGGATGACATACTTTTTTATTCCCTCTCTCTTCTTTGGGCAAGGGACCTGAGGTTAGGCAGCTGCATGGGCTCTGGTTGCTTCCATACCCTGTATCACTGGCTACCCCAGAGCTGAGCTTTGCGAGGCATAAAATCAATTCCTACAAATACTGTATTTTAAAGATGAGCTGAGAATGAACAAAGGCTCTCCGGCTTGCTGCAATCAATGATTACCCCTTCGCCCTCTCCACCCCTTGGGGTGTGCTGGTAGCAGTGCTGATGGTACTATAAGTCAGACCTTGAGACCAGCCTGACCCAATTTGCCCATCGTAACATCAGTACCAATGTTTCACTGGCCCATTCTGTTCTGTTATTTCCTTCTTCCAGAAATATCCCGGCAATGAACCCTCCCTGCTAACCCTCTTCCCCATCTTTCAAAAGACTCCGCTTTCCAGTGTGAACAAAGTACTGCGTCTCCTTCCATTCCCCTGCGGATATGATCCATTTCTGCTGACCAAGGAGCTGGGGGTGGGCATTTATCATTCTCCATGCTATATTCTGTCTCCTGAGCATTTCTCCACACTCACTGAAGACTTTCTTCTCAATGCTTACTTTTGCTACCATTCTGGACAACTTCAATGTGCATGTGGCCAGCCCCACCAATACAGTTTGTACTAACAGTCTTTTACCTTCTCCTCTGCTCCATTTTGGTTGCCAATTCCACGGTCACAACCTGTACCCTGTCCTTGTGAAGGATTGCCCCATCTCTGTAATCTTAAACTTTAGAAGCATATCTCTCAATCATCTACTCCCACTTTCCAACCTCAATTAGCCCTTGACCACTCCATGTTCTTTTTTTGCATTGTCAGCCATTACTTATTTTCTCTCCTTCAGCCTTGTTGCCTCTCTCCCCTTCAGCCTTGTTGCCTCTCCTGTTTACTCCTGTATTCACCCACCCTGAAGCAATCCTCCTAATTTGACTTCTCCAGTTTTACAGATATATCAGGGCTCTTGTTCACTGCTGGTGAAAATTAAGATTTTTCTGCCTGATAATTCCTAAACATCTTTAGGAAGATTCTCCCATCCTCTCTCAACCTCCTTTTTTCTTTTTCAAAACCTCCACACTTTAGAAAGAGAACTTTTTCACTAAGAAAATTAGGATGTAAAGTAAGGAATCTCTCAACTTCCACTTTGTGGAGATGTTAATTTCTATCTGACTCCCACCTTTTCATCTTCTCCCTTTAAGATAAATAGATACCAGCTCCCATTTTTATTAAAGATTTGAATCTGATCTGTTGCCCCCAGACACTCCTAACTTCTCCTGTATCTTTAAGTTCATAAATTTGCCAAACCTTTCCCATCTGAGCATCAAACCAAGCAAAAAACTTTGCTACATCCTATTTCTGCTCCTTCCCTTCACAGGCAAACTTCCTGCAAAATTAAATCTGAATCAGCTATCTTCATTTTCTTATCTCCCATTCCCTCTGCAACTCTCTATCGTCTGGCGTCTTCCCTCATCATTCCACAATGAAATAGTGACTCATTAACTGAGTCTCATGTTGACAAATTGTCATTTTCTTTTATTTTGCTTGTCCTCTCTGCTGCCTATTTCCCTCCCTCCCCTTGGCTTTTCCCATACGTCACCCTCTCTTCTTACCTACCAAACTACTCAGGTAGTGCCTTTGAGTTCCTTTTTTTGTTCTCTTGGTACTATCATCCCCTAAATGCTCAAGTCACTGAGTTTATTCTGCACTTTTTGTGCTTTTCTTTCGTGACGTCATCTGCTCTCATGGGTTCAGTTACCACTGAGCTTATCAATAATTCACATGCCTTTACCTCTTGTTCAGACTTTTCTTCTGAAGGCTACACCTGTATGTCCAACTACTACCTGAATACCTCCACTTGGATGTCTGTCCCTCAGGTACCTCAGACTCAGCCTTATCCTAGCAGAATTCATATATTTTCAGCCAAATGGTTCCTTCTGGATTCTTTCTCTGTGAATACTGTCATCTCTGGTCTCTTTCCCCCATTTCTAGTTGCTTGTCAATTCTAGTAATATGGAGGCAGTTTTACCACTAAAATTCTAAGGAAGTTGAGGAATGCAGATTGGTTTGTTAGGGTTGCTCTTCCTAAGAGAAGCCATGGTTGGGGGGCTGTGCACAATAGAGATGACCACCCAGCAGGAATAGAGTTTAGGGAGGTGGCCTAGTGAGGGAAGGTGATGCTTCCAGTTTTGGATAAATTTAACTGAGCATTACTAAGTATTGAAGGTCACTGGAGTTCTTGAGGAAAAACGAGCAGAGCTTGCTGGTGTCTAAAAAGAAGTGGTGGTTTGTGAGGACCAGGGTCAGAGAAACCCAACACACTGAGAGTTGACTGTTAGAAGCCAAGTTTTCCTGGCTCGGAGAGGTAGGGAAGCTCAAGTGCCTGTAGGTTATGCAGATCCTATTTAAAAATTCTACCTCTGCAGTTCCAACCTGCTCTTGTTTCTCCCAGTAATTTGCAGGCTGCTACCCATTCCCACATCTTGTCTAAAGAGTACATTTTATTAAGCCATTGGATTCTTTTACCTTCTGGTTAAAATTTCCTTAGCTCCGCAAACAAGGCCCTTTAGGATATGGTTGTCTTATTGCTGTCTAGCCCCATGTCTTACTACGGCCTACACATTCTTTTTGTTCCAGCCACATGGAAGTTCTTCTAGCTCTTTAAAAGTATTGTGCCTTCATATAGGGCTGTCATATTCCTGTGCTTGGGAGATCTGTCCCGCTCTTCTTCCCAACATTCACTTTTCCATTTCTACTTGTCCTTCAAAACTCAACTCAAGCACCATTTTCCAGAAGCCTTTTACAATCCCAATCTGACTTCTAACTGGCCTTTTATCTGAGTTCTGTTGGTATCTTCTACATAACATGAATATACCATTTACCACACTTCACTGAAATCAGTGACTCTCTTCCTTAGTAGACTGAGTATTTTATAAAGGCAGCTCCCAGTCTGTTTCAATCCACAATGTCAGTGCTTGATGTTTTTAAATTAAAAAAATTAAAAGTCACCACCTATGAAACTTTTAAAAGTTTAACAAGTAAACCTAGAAACTACTTTTTCTTTAAACTTTAAACAATAAGCCATTTAACTGTGACATTTCTCATGCTAAAGGTGCACGGTGTTTCTAGTGGCAAGTGCAATGTTGCGGGGCTGTTTTCCAGCGGGAAAAGCTGGACCTTTAAGGGCACACTTCGGTGAGCTATCACAGTCCACATAGTGAGCTCAAGCAGCCTGTCGTCTGCTTGACCACCAGACATATCAGCGTGGCTTAACCAAACATCTGCTTGTAGCCAATAAAAGAGGGGTGCAGAGAGAGATTTATGGATCTCTTGATTGTCTTTAGGTTAAGGAACGTTTGTTGATGTAGGTATATTTTTGTGTGTAACCATGGGTTGGGGATTACAGGGGTTACTCCTTCCTAGGAGGCAATGTGTGCATCACTTCTTCGGAGTCGCTTTCCCTGACCTCTTTCACTCAGTAATATTCGTAGTTCCCACCCTCTTTTAGCACCTTATTTCTTCCTTTACTCTGATCACTGGTTTACATGCATTTCGGTGACAGAGTAATGTCTGTCTCCCCTGCAAGACTGTAAACTCTGCACCAAGCAAGGGGCCTAACACGGTCCCGTTTATCCTTGTAATCCCCTGCCCAGTAGGATGCGTAAAGCATAACGGGTATTCAACAACTGTTCCAACGACAAGTGTTCAAAGGGCCCTTCTGCGAGGACTAACCGGCGCCCGCACGTTTCGCTGCTCCCACCCCAGCCAGCACCAACGCCTCGACTACCAACCGCCAGGAGGGGAGGCGGGGCGGACCGGGCGAGGCACGCAGCGCGCCGCGAATGCGCTCTAGCAGGGATCCTTCTCGGGCTCGCGTGGGCGCGGCCCGGTGGGGAGGGAGAAACGGGGAGGAGGTGGACAAGACGCGAAGGAGTGGCGTGGCCAATAAGCGCGGACCGGGCGGACCTCGCTGCAGACCTGCCGCTGAGCGCGGGGCTGGGCGTGCCTATGGGTGACGCGCGGGGCGGGACGGGCCAATGGGTGCTGGGCGGCGGGCGGGCGGGCCTGGAGGCCGGGGGCTTTAGGACGCGAATAGGAGGCCACCAGGACAGACTGACGATCGACCTCATTGCGGAAAGCGCATGGCTGGAATGGCGCTGGCGCGGGCCTGGAAACAAATGTCCTGGTTCTACTACCAGTACCTGCTCGTCACTGCGCTCTACATGTTGGAGCCCTGGGAGCGGACTGTGTTCAGTATCCTGTCCGGGTCGCTTGCGCGGGGGACTTGGGGGAGCGGGGTTGCTGGGCGTCCTCCTTCCGGGTCCGGGGCTTGGGGGTGGGCGTCGGAGAGGACGTGTCCCCTGGACTCGGGTACACGTACTCGCCTCTTCGAAGTGGGAGGCTGGGGGGCTCCTCGTGCGATTAAGGGACGGGGGTGGGGGGTGGGGGAGAAGGGGGATATAGCGCTTGAGCGCCAGAGTCGCTTGACTTATTTTTGGAGGAAAACCCTAAGAGGCATGACCTATCCTGTATGTCCTCGTTGTTCTTCGGCCGCGGCTCCTTTTGGTTCAGTCCCCTGTGTTCTGGTAGGAAGCAGAGACCTTGCAGTGGAGCAAATGGCCCCCAACTTGGAAGCTTTTGACCTTTAACTGTCCCCAATTTAGCTGGTTTGGGTTCTAATGAGCATTCTAGCCAGTTTTAAACGCCACCTTTCAAAACCGGGTTGTGAATTTGTGATCATGACATCCCAGTAGAATTTTTTTAAAGCAATTTTAACTTACTGTACCTGTCGGGTGTTCAGAAGTGAGTTGCTTTAAAAGTAGGTCTTATTAAATGAAATCTTTCGCTGTTTGCATCCTCCGTTGAAGGCATTCAATGGAAAAGGAATTTATGGTTGGTTGTAGTTAGGGTTTGACATTATTTGGATTGTTGAGTCGGTTCCGACTCACAGCGACCCTGTATAGGGTTCAGAGGAGTGGCTGGTGAGTTTGAATTGCTGACCTTGAGGTTAGCAAACCAGTGCTTATCTTACAGCGCCACGCCAGGACTCCGTTTGGATTAATAAGAGTTAATAAATACTTATTAAATGCATACCGAGTGATTACTATGGATAAGCAACTGTGTTAAGTATTTTGCATATATTTTAGCTTACCTAAGGAGCTCTGGTAATGTAGTGGTTACGAATTGGGCTGCTAATCTCACCAGCTGTTACGCGGGAGAAAGATGAGGCTTTTTGCTCCTGTAAAGATTTTACAGCCTCGGAAACCATACAGGGTCGCTATGAGTCGGAACTGACTCCACGGCACTTAACAACAACAACAAACCTTGTCAACGAGTCCTCGTGTGGCGCTGTGGGTTAATGCGCCAGACTGCAAAGCAGTTTGAACTGCAAGGTCGGGGGTTCAAGCTCACCAGCTGCTCCTCAGAAACCCTATTACAGGATTGCTATGGGTCAGAACCGACTTGATGGTGCTTCATAACAACAACCTTGCCAAAAACTCCAATGAATAAACTCAAGGTTGTGGAGAGAGAATATTTTGTGTCCCTCATGTCTGATGCTTCGCATCTCCCGTTTTCTATATTGCCCTCCTTGACCTTATTTTCGAATAATAAATACTAATAAGGAGCTCTGGTAGCGTAGTGGTTACGAATCGGGCTGTGAACCTTAAGGTCAGCGGTTCGAAACTACCAGCCGCTCCACGGGAGAAAGATGAGGCTTTCTACTCCCGTAAAGATTTACACCCTCGGAAACCCTGTACAGGGTCGCTATGGGTGGACGGCGCTTAACAACAACAACAATAATGAGATGTAACTTTTTTTTTTTTTTCCAACTGAGGCCTGTATGAAACTTGTGTTTCACATGCGTGAAATAGACAGGGTTGTCTTTCACCTTTAGTGTTGTTTAGTTTTGAATTGACGACTTTAGAATTACTTTGTTAATGTATTGTTGCTTTCTGGTGGAGTGCTTGAAGCCATTCCCTTCCAAATCTTACCAAATGTATTTGTGTTGAAATAGATGGCATAAGGTTATACTCAAAGCTGAATCTTTTGTTTTAACACTTTTGAGGACTCTTAGTTGCTTATAAGACAATTTATTTAGTACCACCAGCATTTCTTTTCAATCTGCAATTTAAGAACAGGAATGCATATTTCAAAGTTTGATTCTGAATGTAAAATTGGTCTCCTCTTCTCCCTGACCCCAAATCTTGTGTTCACCATTTATTTGTAGTTACCCATTAGTCTCTCTCTTAAGTTTTTTGGATTAGAACTCATGAGGCCTTGCCTTGTAAAATGTTACACAATACTGTAGTATACATAGTTAACTGGAATTTCTCAATAGAATCACACACTATGTGTCTTGCTTAATAACATCATAAAAATGAATTTAAGCATGGTTGAACTAAATTGAAACTCTTAAAATCAGAAATTGAATAGCTCACTATTAGAGCCTGGTATAAATTTTACATTTAAAAGCTTTTATTGGCATATGGGTAGATACTGTAGATGGTGTTATGGTTTTCCCATTTTATGTTGCAATGGTATTAACGTATACATTCCTAAGTGGTGACTTTTTTGGAGGCGATGGACAAATAAATTAGGAATTTTTTCCATTCCTTCTTTTCTAACCCTTCAGAACTTTGTTTTTGGGTAAATGTTGCCCTTTTGATCTCAAAAGTTTGATTATTCCAAGGTGTGCATACCTTCCTAATGTTATTATTCTCCTTAAAGACCTGACTACCATTAAGCTGAAAATTTACCATTGGGGTGTGTTCATTATCAGTCTTGAAGGGTGACTAAGAGCAATAGTCTCAGAGTTCCACCAGTCTATCCAACCACTAAGTCTGCTCTTTCTTTCTTTTTTTTTTTTTAAATGATTTTGAGTTTTGTTCCACATTTTTCTCCCACTCTCTCTAAGACCTTCGAATGTGATCTTTTCTCGAGCATTGGTAGTGGGGACCTGGACACCATCTAATTCTGTTCTCAGGGTTGTGGAACCTGAGGTTCACATGACATTTTAGTCCTATGGACTAATTGCTTCAGTGAATCTTCTATTTCCCTCACTCTTCTTTCCTCTGGACAGGGAGAGACCAATAAGGATCTTACACTTCATACCTGAGATGACTGAAAACTCATAGCTGTTTATAACCTTTTATGCACACTTTCTAGGGGCATGTTGGATTATCTGAATGTATGTGTAGAAATTACTTGCTTCTCTATTCTTCCCCACATTAAATGGCTAGAAGTTAGTTAAAAGTCACTGTATATTGAAGCTCTGTCCCAATTGAATATAAACATTTTTTTGAAGTTGGAAGTTTGAAGCTTTGAAGTAAAGATATTGAAGCTCTGATAGCGTAGTGGTTACGAATCGGGCTGTGAACCTTAAGGTCAGCAGTTTGAAATTACCAGCTGTTCTGCGGGAGAAAGATGAGGCTTTCTGATCTCGTAAAGATTTACAGCCTTGGAAACCCTGTTACTATGGGTCGGAACCGACTCAACAGCAAACAACAACAACCAAAAAAAAAAAAAAAGATTTCAGAGAGGTTTTTAAGTGAATGCATCTAATTTGAAAAGTCAGAAACATGGAGAATGGTTCTTGGAACAATGAGATTTGTAAATAAGTTTTGTCAGTCCTCTTGCCTGTTTTCTGATGTCATATTTGAACTGATTTGTCAGCCAAGTGTGAGCCTGTTACCATGTGCGGACATGCATTCCATCTTATGTAGAAACAGAACCTGACACTATGGTAAGACAGGTGTTAGCAATGAGAAAACTTCTGTAAGTGCTAATTTGTTGTTAACTGTTGTCAAGTCGGTTCTGACTCAGTAGCACTGTATAGGGCTTCTAAGGAGCGGCTGGTGGGTTTGAACCATCAACCTTGCAGTTAGCAGTCCAATGCTTTCCATACGGTGCCACATGAGGTCTCTAAATGCTAACTTGTTATTAAGAGCTGTTGATTCAATTCTGACTCATCTTGTTGTTGAGTGCCGTCGAGTTGGTTCCGACCCAAAGCGACCCTCTACAGGATTTCTGAGGCTGTAAGTCTTTACAGGAGCAGAAAGCCTCATCTTTCTCTCACGGAACAGCTGGTAGTTTTGAACCACTGACCTTGTGGTTCATGGCCCGATTCGTAACCACTACGCTACCAGAGCTCCTGACTTAATAGTAACCTTTTTTAGGGTTTTCATGGAGTAGCTGTTGGGTTAGAACTACAAGACCTTGAGGTTCAAGCCTACCTTGTGGCCCACTGCATTATTCTACAGCATCACATCAGTAGTATTGCAGAAGACCTGCGAAAGGCTGAGAACCAGCTACTGCTCTCTCCAGGGGCAATTTTTTTTTAATTTTTAAGTTTTTATTGTGAATTATGTGATAGTTTACATTGAAGAACATTCATCCTATTGTAGATTGTTTCATTGCCATGATTACAATCCCCTCCATGCAACATCTAACAACCAAAGGGTACATCCCGCCGCCCTGCCCCTCTGTCTGTCAGCATACCTCTCTCTCTCTGGGCCTAGAATCCCCAGCTCCATGTCATTGCCTCTGTCTCCATCTCTGGCATCACTGTTTCTCTTGGTAGGAGGGGGCGAAGTTTTGAATTGTTGTTAAGTACAGTAGAGTCGGTTTGGACTCATAGTGACCCCGCACAGGGTTTCCGAGGCTGTAAATCTTTACAGGAGCAGAAAGCCTCATCTTTCTCCCGTAGGACACCTGGTTGTTGTTTCAAATTGCCGACCTTGAGGTTAGCGGCCCAATTCATAACCACTATGCTACCAGAGCTCCTTGACTAAATGTTTCAAAAACTCCTTTTCTCTCTTGCCAAACAACAGTGGTAGAGAAAGAAAAGACTGAGTTTTGTAAGAAGACAGGTTTTATAACCCATGTGGGGCACATTCCCTGTAGTGCCTCATTGAATAACACTGTAACTAGTATGTTGAGGGGAGGTGAAGAGATTATAAAAATAACGTGTTTCAAGTATTTTGAACCCTAACTAAATGCTTTATTTATTTATTTTTTAAAACTTTGTTTCACGATTATTAAAAAACGAAGGCTTGTTCGTATGTAGTCACTGCATTTTCTCATTGGCTACCTTTCTGCTGCTTCTTACATTTACATGGTATTTTGTGCTTCTGTTTATTTTAAGCAAAATGTAGGCAGTTTTTTTGCTGTATGTTAGGACTTAGATTCCCCCTGAAAGCTGGTACATGTTTCTTCAAGGAAAAATTTTCAGTTTTAACTTCAATGCTGGCCAT